GTGTTTGTTGTTGACAAGCTACAAAGGGATGCAAGGGAATACTTAAACGCTAAAAGAGCTGGGCAAACAACCAAGGATGTACCAGAAAAAGATGGAAAGCAAGGAGTTGAAGCAGCAAAAGAAGCAGTAGTTGGTCAGCAGGTGTTGCAAATTGAAGGAGGAAAACACATTGTTAATGAAAACAATGAGAATGTAATGCAAACTGTAGTTGATGCCTCAATGATTGATAAAGGTCCTCCTAAGCCTCCACGTGATGTCCCTGCTAAAACANGCAGCAAAAGAAGCAGTAGTTGGTCAGCAGGTGTTGCAAATTGAAGGAGGAAAACACATTGTTAATGAAAACAATGAGAATGTAATGCAAACTGTAGTTGATGCCTCAATGATTGATAAAGGCCCTCCTAAGCCTCCACGTGATGTACCTGCTAAAACAACATTGGCAAGAATTTTCAATGCTGTGAATCCAATTGTGAAAGCATACGACAATTTGGCTTTTTCTAATGCTACAGCTGTTTTGTCAACTAATGAAGGCCCAACGATGTTGTTCAACCTGGGATGATAGATGACATTGCTTTAGCTGCAGCTGTTCGGGCACTCTATGCCAAGAATAATCCAGCAGTAACAGTTGCGTCAAAAGATGCAAATTTAATGGAAGCTGCTGATCGAGATGCAATACCAGGTCAAACTGGTGCAGCTTCTACTGTTTCGAAGTTGGATGACAATGTTGGAGATAATCGTGGAGCTGCATAAGTTAAAAATTTGAAGGCTACTGTTGCATTGAAGGGAGATTGGGATCGAGATGATGCTGGGGTCGCTGAACCAATAGCTGATCGAGCAACCAATGCCAAGAATCATGAAACAAATGTGTTTGTAGGATAGAAATCTGGAATTGAAGCAGCTATTACATTTTCAAATGTGGGGGCTACTGTTGCATTGAACACAACTGGTTATCTAGCTATTGTGGGGGATCCTAAAACTAATGTTGCAGCTGATATTGTTGGAAGATCATCAGGTATCAAGGCTACAGTCGTACATGTTGAGGGGCAGGTGTCGAATAATCTAAGGCAAAATGCTACAGTTCCATGCAACCCAGATATAAAGAGCAAAAAGTGGGCAGTGGTGAATAAATCGACTAACAAGAAGCAAGCTACAGGTGCGCAAAATCAGATTGTTCCATCAAATGTTATTGGGGTCTCGAACTCTTTTGATGCTTTGGTGAATGAGGGTGAGCATGTTACGAAGGAGGCTGAAAATACGGGGCAACAGATGGATGATGACACACAATCAATAGTTGGAAAAACCAGCTCTACAACTATGCTGATGAACATAACTTCAAAAAATGGGCAACCACAAGCTCCAGGCAATAACTCACAGCAGCAAACTTCCACAAACACAGGTGATCGGATAATTATTTCGAAGGACATTGTTCCTGTTGATGCGCAAAAGGCAGAAGCACACAGTTCCAATGCTCCTAGTTGTTTTTTTTCCAATCCTAATGTAGAAAAAATAATCAAAGATGCCCAGAATGAAATGATGATGAATCATACTTTGCTGAAACAACCGTTGGTAACCTTGAACACTTCCGTATTTGATATCCCTTCTCAATCTGTGGAGTCGTTTGGGGAATTTAAAGGTGAATCTGGGCAGCTTGTGCTGTCAACTGGGAACAATAATGAGGTTATCTAGTCAAAGGCAAAGGAAATGGATATCAATTCTAAGTTGTGGCATCACCAACGAGAATATGATGATGAAGAAGATCGAGGTGATGGATTTGCTGGCTATTAATCTGAAGAAGGCGAGCAGGAGTTTGATCAGGATAGTGCAGGAGAGGACCTTGATGCTACAATCAAGACACAGTCCCATGGGAAAACTACAGCACCTCCAACGAGCAATTTGAACTGTCATGCACCTGCTTTCATTCCCAGGAATTCTCCAACTGGTGCTAAGCCAAATGCTGCAACTGGAAGTTTACCTCAAGACATAGCAACATCTTCCAAACAGGTCACTCCAGGTGCTACTACCAATTCTCCAACAAGAAGTTTAAATCAAGCTGCTGCAACAGGCGAGGGGAAGATTAATACAGTTGATCGAGGAAAATCTGGGCAGGAGCTAATGGTGACCACTGAAAGATTGGAGTACAATGCAACAACAAATGTTGAGAAGCCTTCTTCAATGGATATCTCAAGCCAACATGCAGAACCATATACAACTATGATGCAACAGCAGCAGCTCACTTCAAATACTTCAGTTGTTATGCAACTTGGAGATCGAAAAGCAGCAACAACAATACAAGCTGAGCAGCAACAAATTGTCACAACCAATCCAGTCATTTCAGCAGAGGAAAGAAAATTATTGGATGCAATGGTGAGTCCACATCCAGTAAAACCTTTAAATGTTGTTACTTGTAGCACTGGTCACATGAGTAGAAGAAAGAACAACTTGCAAAACACATAACAAAGCAAGACAATGGTGACAAATATACAAGGTCAATATGCATTGGAGACAATTGTTATCGACCAAAATGTTCCACAACCAGTGCACCTGGGGAGAGACTTGTATGAAGACGGAGAGGAAGAAGCAATGTTACAACAGTGTAGAGCAGAGGCAGCAAGAAAAGGAGATCTATCACCAATGCATAGCGGCAAAGGTAAGAAGACTCATACAAGGAAAAATAGTTGGAACGACAAGGTTAGTGATTTTTTAAATGTTAGGCGACCTCCAATGAGAGTTGCCAAACAAAAGATGGCCGCCCCAACTACATCTACAAAGTCCAATCGTTCAAAAAAGAAATCTTGAATTTTGAATACATCTTGAAGAATTGGGATTGTGATGAAAATGAGTTACAAATTGAAGAAATTACAAGCTCGGACAAGAAGGGACAACATTTTAATTCTTTCATCATTTTATTCTACCATTATATTAGCATTCTCATTTGTAATATCATCATAGAGTATGTTATAAACTTTGTGATGATCATTGAATATTTGGTACTTTTCAGTTCTTATTTTTTACATGCATGTTAGTAGGTGAGGCTATTTAAAGCCTCAATAGGAATAGTAAGGTAAGGTTTAGCCGGGTTGGTGTTACCTTGGTCCTATGCCTTTGGAACCACACTGCTATGAGATTATATGCCCTCGTGAGACTATGCCGGCAGCTACCCCATGAATCCTCTACATGAGGCTGCCATCATAAGGCAATGTGAGGCGCAGAGGAGTGATTATATAGCCAAGGCATACGGGTAACAAAACCGGTGCTATTGTCCCCCTTATTTGTACTTATCCGAATTGTTGTATTTTTTTTTCTTTTTATTAATAAAAATCTAGCCCTAGGCGCTTGCCTAGCGGATTGCCAAAAAAAATCACTAACTTGCTCTCTTTCTTTCATTCCAATGTTAGTTTTTATATCTCCACTCTTTTCTATTTTCAATAGATATTTTATTTGTTTCTTTAACAACTTACTGGTATATTAATTTTGTTGATTCTTATATCTTCTAAGTAAATAGAGGTAGGCTTGTTTAATCCTGGGGGAAAATTTCATATTGCTGAAATAGTTTCTTAGCTCAGTGCCCAGTACGATTCAAGCCAATTCGTGTATCTATTCATAAATAATATTATTGCAGTATATTATTGCTGAAATATTATTTTTCGATGTCATTCCCCTACACATATCAATGTCCTACCAACAATCCAGGAAGTGAAAACTCGTCGCCGTTTAATTTTTGGATGACTTAAGGGGGTTGTTCGTGTTAAAAATCTTTTTTTTGGTCAAAGTTGTGCAAAAAACTACCACCACCACAGAGGTCCCATTCCACGAACGAGAACCTACCCAAGCCCCCATCTTTTCGCGATCACGAAATCCACTCTGCATACGCTCGGCCTAGCAATATTATTTCTTTGATCGCGATTGCCCCATAAACTGTGCACAAGGACCATTTTCAATCCTAAACTGATCTGGAAAATGTCCTAACTTCCTCATGACTCAACCCAAATTATACCAACATGCCATAAAAAAAAATACCATATACCCATATCAAAACACGATTAAAAAAACACAAAACAAAGGGTTGAATTATTACAAAGTTAAAAGCATTATTACATTCAACCAATGCATGACTTTTTTAGGGCGTCAAGTTCTTTTTTATATTCTCTTTAAGATGCTTTCTTTCTTTTTTACTATTAGCGTTTCTTTCCCTCTTTACTACTTTTTCTTTACTTTCCTTTGTTTTTTTCGGTGAGAATCAAGATAGCAGTTGTACCATTAATTTTCCGTTACGTATTTAGTTAAGTCATGTACATTCCAAGGGCCTTTATAGAAACAGTTTGTTTGATTTTCTGGACGTGACTGACACCATTATTTCTAATAAAATATACATAAAATGTGTGCAGGTGTGTGTGTGTGTGAAAGCCCACTACAATCTCAACAAATACTACTAAATTCTGACTCCATAAATTCGAAAGGACAATGACTTGAGTGCTAAGAACCCTAAAAGTTAAATCCATTAAGTTTAAATCCTAAACGAATCCCCCTACGACTGTAACAATGAACAATGCTCAACAGCTCTTGTGCAAAGTCATTAAAATAATTTATCAACATAACATACATTCTAAGACCTTCCAAACTAAAGAAAAAAATAACTCCAGAACAAGGTTTCCAACAGCTCTTGCGCAAAAGTCGTCATTAATTTATCTAAACACAAAATATATATTCTACGAACTCCAAACGAGGTCCAAATGAGGTTTTCTTCTTATTCCTAGTTATCATCCCAGCAATTATGACAGCAGCAATACAAAAGATTGCCAACTGAAGAAAAAAAATGCAGCCTTACTTTTTTTTTTTTTTTTTTTTGCAACTTCAGCTCATCTGCTACTGAAATTAGCAATTATGCTGCTTGCACTTATAAGTTTTATCTGCTTCACTGTTCACCTCCAATTTGTCCTACTCTCTGGTAGATTTATGTTGAGCTCAGAGAATATGTGAAAAATCCACAAATACTGGAAAACTTTTTACATCTGTTCTCCTTTTCTTTCTTGCTTTGGTTGTCATTTACATTGGCTGGTGTAAAGAAGATGAACATCATGTCTCTCCGTCGCCAGAACCTGCAAGACATTGAGTCCTATAAATCACCTTTTACATCACTCAACACGATACACAATAATGAACATGTCAAAATCTAATCATGAGAGATGCATACCATATTGAGGAACTCACAATATCTTTTGCCTGGAATTTTGTCTATCCAAAATCTTTGTAGGCAGAAAACCTCCATGTTGCATGTCACTTCAACCTTTAGCTAGCTTAGGGTCATCCATAGTTATTAAACAATTTTTGCCAGAGGGTTAAGGCTCCAAGCAATCAACCAATATGGTTCGAGGAACTAATGAGACCTGATGAACAAAAAATAGTGGTCAAATAACTAAAACTGTAAACTAATGAGAATCAAGTACTTTGGGCTGTTGGAACATTTCTCCTCAGGCATCAAGTGTTTTTACCTTGCTCACACCCTCTTTTTCAGCACTGTCACCTTCTGTCTTACAAGCACCTCAAAATCTACTTTTGATAATCCAGAACTTTATTTAAAAAGCAATAAAATCAAAGATGCATGGTTTATTTTTACTGCACACCAACTCTTTTCCAGGGTATAGCAGCAACGATTAAAGTATGCCACGAAGAGCCAAGGGATCGACTATGTCCACACCTAAACCAAGTATTAAGAGAGGGAGGAGGGAGGGAGGGAGGGACAGAGAGGAGTGCAGAGATGAATGAACCAAATTTAACTTACAGTTGATACTAATGCCAGATGAACAAGTGACATTTGGAAATTCATCTTGGTTTAAATGCTTGACCTCAGGTTGAGGGAGCAATCAAGAATCAGTACGTCAAAAATCAGTCCAAAATGATGCCTTCATGATATGATGTATGCACCATCCTACATTTCGAGGCGAGACAACATTAGTGACACTGGAGAATGAATTCTCAATTACAGAGAGAACATCGTATTAAACACTCAAATCTTAGATTGCACATACATCATTGAATGTGAATTTGTCTGATATCTTCAGGGATGGTAACAGCCATTCCGACGAATAGATGGGCTGCTTTTGATATTTACTACTATCATCTGAAGAATAATGAGAAAGCCAGCTTTTTATTCATGGAAAGAGCAAGAGAATATGACTGGCCTAAATGACTTTGAGCCATACCTGAAGGGCGCACAAGCATTCTATGAGAAACAAAGGACTGCAACAATCAGAAAAGATTATTAAGGTTAATAAGATCCTTAAAGTCCAAATATTCAATATAACATGATGGCTTCACGCCTTCAATCATCTAATATTGGCTTTGTATCTGAGTCGTTTATTTTCATCTCAGTAGCATGTAGATACAGATATAGAACTATGTACACTTTTTGATTTGCATAATTCATATGCGGGATTTATGATAGGTTGGTAAAAGATTTGACGTTGTGAAAGACCTGTCTGTTTTTTTTTTTTTTTTTTTTTTTTTTTTTTTTTTTTTTTTTTTTGCAGCT